TATTTGAGTTGGAGTCTCACTGTTACCCAGGTTGGAGTACAATGGCATGCTCATTGCCACCTCAGCCTCGACCTGCTGGGCTCAGGTGATACTTCCACCTCAGCCTTCCAAGTAGCTGGAATCACAGGCGTGCACCACCACGCCTGACTAATTTTTTGATTTATTGTAGAGATGATGTCTCACCAAGTTGCCCAGGCTAGTCTCCAGCCCCTGGGCTCAGGCAATCCTCTCACCTCAGCCTCCCAAAGTGCTAGGATTACAGGCGTAGTAAGACATGTTTTCCTTTGGGATATTCTGCCACCCAGACCCTAAGATAAATCATATTCCCATTTCAGTTGAACTGATTGATGGAAATAACACATTCACATTGTAGTGTGGGCTTATTTATATGACCTAGCTACTGATGGAACAAAACATGTTGTGTTTTTATTCCCACTTACATTTAACTTGCAACTTCTCTCTTTTTTTTCCTTTTCATCCATACTTGGTGTTAGCAGTTGCAGATTTAATATAAAAGAGAATCTTACTGTCCCTTTTCCTCAGCTCAACAGTTTATTAAGTTGTGAATACCGGAATACCATTTTTTCCCCTTCTTCTTCTTCTTTTTTTAAACAACAATACCTGGATGGACTTATCTTGATTTTGGACTGGGCTTAAAATAAAGTCCTAATCATATCACCATCAACTGTAAACACCCATTTAACTCCTGCCATATAAGGTACTGTTAGAGGTGCTATGGGGTGAGAGGCTGTCCTGGAGGAAGGCATGGAACTAGAAGACCTGGTATCTGTCTTCACCAGCTTGCAAACCTTTTTTAGGGATACAGGAAACAATTACTATGGAAAGTATACCAAAAGCTCCATGAGTGACATGGACTGCAAGTGTGGTACAAACTCAGAATCAAGAAATTGTTTCCAGTTGAGGTCATCATGGCTTCATGGATGAAATAAAACTTAAACTGAATCTTTAGAAAAAGGTAAAACTTTGACAGGGAGAGAAAGGGCAAGAAGTGATTTCCGGAAAAATTTTCCATGCTCATGAATAGGAAGACTCAACATTGTTAAGATGTCCATCCTACCAAAAGCAATCTACAGATTAAACTCAATACCTGTTAAATTACTAACATCATCATGCTCAGACTTGGAAATGACAACACAGAAATTCATATGGAAACATAAATGACCATAAATAGCCAAAATAATCTTTAGCAAAAGAAGCAAAGCAGGAGGAATCACACTTCTAGACTTCAAACTTTCCTAGAAGGCTACAGTAATCAAAACAGCCTGGTATTGGTACAAGAACAGGCATACGGACCAATGGAACAGGATAGAGATTCTGGAAGCAAAGCCTCAATTTCTCAACCAACTTATCTTTGTCTAAGGCTCCAACAACAACCACTAGGGAGAGGAGAACCTATTTAGTAAATGTTGCTGGGAAAACTGCGACCACATGCAGAAGATTGAAATAGGACCTCTATCTATCACCATACACAAAAATTAACTCTAACTGGATCAAAGACCTAAACATAAAACCTCAAAGTATAAGAACCTTAGAAAATGCAGGAGACATCCTTATGGAAATTGGAACTGGCAACCAATTCCTGATCAAAACCCCAAGTGCCCATGCCATAAGAGATCAGATAGACAAGTGGGACCTCATCAAACTGAAAAGCTTCTGCAAAGCAAAGGAAACCATTAAGAGAGTGGGGACACAGCCCACAGACTGGGAAAAAATATTTGCCAGCAGTATATCTGATAAAGGCCTAACATCTAGGATCTACAAGAAACTCAAATGTGTAGAAAGGAAAAAACAAACAGCTCCATTAAAAAGTGGGCAAAAGATATGAATAGACACTTCTCAAAAGAAGATATACAGGTAGCCAAACAGACACATGAAAAAGTGCTCAGCCTTACTCATTATCAGAGAAATGCACATCAAAAGCACACTGAGATACCACCTAACCCCAGTAAGAGTGACCATCATTAATAAAACAAACAACAACAGATGCTGGCAAGAATGTGGAGAAAAAGGAACACTTCTACACTGCTGATGGGAATGCAGACTAGTGCAACCTCTTTGGAAAACAGTGTGACGGCTTCTGGAAGAACTAGAAATTGTCCTTCCGTATGACTCAGCAGGAACTCAAATCATTCTATAAAAAGATATTTGCACACACATGTTTATTGCATCACTGTTCACAATAGCAAAAACATGGAACCAACCATGCTTCCCATTGAAACTGGACAGTATAAAAAGATGTGTTACACAATGAAATATTATGCAGCCATAAAGAAGGACAAACATATGGACTTCGTAGCAACTTGGATGAATTTAGAGTCTATCATACTCAGTGATCTATCACAAAAACAAATCTGAGTACCACATATTCTTACTCATAAGCAGACCTTGAACAATTATTATAATACTGTAAGAAAGGGATTGGCAGTAGTGGGAAACTGTCGGGATGGGGGGGTGGTTGGCAGTAGTGGGAAACTGCGAGGGAAGGGTGTGGGATTGGCAGTAGTGAGAAACTGCTAGGGGAGGGGGGCACATCTCATCAACAAGGGTACCTTCATGGTGAACATTTGTATACCTAACTCTGAATTGAAACCCACATCTTTAAAATTTAAAATTAAAAAAAAAAAAAGTGAAGTGATTTTTGTGTGGGACTGATGAGTATATCCAGAGCAAGGAGTGTTAGGGTAACTATACCATAGGCCAGTTTGGCTGAAGGGCAGAGCCCCTGTTGGGACTAAGAATGGTGAGTGCAGGAATTTGGGTGATGGTTAACCCTGTGAAACAGTCATGGCTTGAATAGTAATATGAATAAAGCTGTGCTTTAGCAGCCTAATCTGGCAGTGGTGACCAGAAGGTAGGTTGCAAGGAGGAAAGAGCAAGACAGGGATACCAATAAGGAGAGCCCTATAAAGTAGTCCAGGTGAGAAAGAGACTAAAAGAGAATTTAGATAATGACAGTGGGAATAGGAGGGAGGGAGGGACGGCTATAAGACACATTAGGAAAGAAAAGCTGATTAGATTTGTTGACTGAATACAGGTCCTCTTTGAAGAAAATAGGAAAATTCACAATTTGTATCATTTCATTGAAGTTAATCTACTTCATATGACTCAGTTGGAAACCTTTGGAAAAAAACTTTTAGTTTATCATTATTAATTTGAAGGAAATGCAGCCCCACCATTATAATTACCAAACATTTACACAAATCCTAAGAGTTGTGTCCTAGTAAGTTGGGACTGCTATAACAAAAATATCATAGACTGAGTGGCTTAAAAACAGAAATTTATTTTTCACAGTTCTGGAGGGTGGAAGTCCAGCACGTTCGGTGTCTGGTAAAGGGACTCTTTCTGTTTTAATGGTGACCATCTTCTTGTTGTGCCCTCATATGGTGAAGAGAATGAACTCTAGTCTCTATCTCTTCTTCTTCTTCTTTTTTTTTAACTTTAAAGATGTGGAATACAATTCAGGGTTGGGTACATATGTGGTCTATCTCTTCTTATAAGAACCCTGATCCCATTATGGGGGCTTCACTCTCTTGACCTTATCTAAGCCTAGTCATTTCTAAAAGGCCTCACCTCCTAATGCCATCTCATTGGGGGTTAATTCAATATATGGATTTTGGGGAGACACAAACATGCAGTTAACAGCAAATGGCTATTTACTTCCTCTAGCCTTCACTGCCTTTTTATCTCTTTCTAAGAATTATGAGGACAGTGCCGTGGAGGTGAAAAATGTAACCTGAAACTTTAATAGCATTTATTGGATTATAAGTAGAAATGTAAAAGTGCTTCTGAAAACTCAATCTTACTTTAGGGGGGGAAGAAGCTGGAGGTAGGCCCAGGAGGAATGAATCAGATAGAAAAAGTTATCTTGAAGGATGTTTAGTGTTCTTCAGTAGAGGCACAGAGCCAGCTTTGGGTGGCTCTTCAAGGGGGGGGTGGAGAATAAATCCCCTGACCTCGCTCTGTTCCCTCCCACCTCGTGCTGATCTCCTGCTTATCTCCATCTAGATGGCAAGAGAATCCATGGGTGTGGTCTATACAGGCCAGGCTCCAGAGGAAGATGGCAGAGTGGAGAAGAGCAGAGTTTCGTATGCTGTTTTTTCACTTAATACGAACAATTTCTCATGCAGCAAATTATCTTAGAATCTGAGCTTTAATAGCACTAATATCTAAAAAATAAATACTGCATGATTTTGAAATAGTTATCTGTTATTAGACATTTGGATTGTTTCTTATGTTCTGCTATGATAAATAATGCTGCTCTCTCTCTATATATATGTACATATGTAAATATTATGTACACCCATAATTAATTGCATGTATCTGTTTCTCTAGGATATATTTTTATGAACATAATTGCCACCATAAGGATTTTATGGTGGTCCTTTCTGATGGGCACAGTGGAAAGAACATGACTCTGAGGCCACATGTCCCTGATCAGTTCTGCTTCTGGATGTGTGACCATAGGCACGTCACTCCACTCTGCTGAGACTCCTTCTCTGTCTGTTAAACAGAGACCATACCTCCCATTACCCAGTGCCATGATGAGAACTACAGGAGGTTGTGATTTTTTTTTTGAAAGCAGGATTTATTGAGAGGACAGAAAAGCTCCACAGTGGGAGGGGGCCTGAGGGGTTGCCCTAAGGAGGTTGTACTTTTAAAGGGCCCTGTGTGCAGGGTGTGCTCAGTACAGGTTACCTCTCCCTTCCTGTGGGATGGGTCATTTTTCACATACATGTATGCACATGCCTGGATGTTTTGAGTGAAGTGAAGAAAATGTACTTATAAGATTTTATTCAGTATCTAAAAAAAGTAAAGCTGACTTACAACAGACAAATTTCAACTCAAAGAATTCTTTCAGTGAAAGAGATCTATTTAAAGTTTAAGATATTGATAACAAAGACAGAAATACATCCTCAAAGACAGAAATCTACATCCAGTAATTACTTCTAACCTCCTTCCCTGTGCCCTTCCTCCCTCAGTGCTCATCTTCAAACTCTACCAGCGGGCAAAGCATGTGTACAGTGAGGCTGCGCGAGTGCTCCAGTTCAAGAAGATATGTGAAGAAGCCCCTGACAACACGGTCCAGCTGCTGGGAGAGCTGATGAACCAGAGCCACGCGAGCTGCCGGGACATGTATGAGTGCAGCTGCCCTGAACTGGACCAGCTGGTGGACATCTGTCGGTGAGACTGAGAGGGCTGCATTGTGGGGCTCAGGGATGCCCCCAAAGAATACTGTTTAAATTAGTTGGAAAATGCAACATTGCCTAATCTTCTATGTGAAAGTAGATTCCTCCCTGCTTCCTATATGAGAGATCTCCCAGGATACAGAGCTGAACGTGTCCCCTCTTAAATATCTATAGATATTTTCAAGACCTGGCTCCAAGGCTTTATGAGGCTCTGGGTGGAGTGAGTTTGGTGTGAGTTCTTTACAACATTGGAAGAAAGACTTTCCAACTTTGGGTAATTAGGCCTCTCAGGAAGGTAGCTTTCTCAGAGATGGGCCCTGATGTAACTTCCTCATGATATTTTAATTATGACACTGTTGCTCTGTCAGAAACTCCTGTTCAGGGCCCTAATTAAGTTTAGCGATTCTGTTTGGCAGGGGAAGAAAACTAAAGGAGAACTCAAGCCTGACAGGAGTGTGTGAGGGGCAAGGTGGCTGAAGGAATCACACTGGGAGCCAGCATTTCCTGTCTTCCAGGTTGAGTTGAGGCCATTTGAGGAAATAAGTGCTGAAGGAAGTCCAGGTTGTGAATGGTCAGTTGAGGCAGAAATGTAAAGAGGGAAATTCTTCGACAAAATCTGAAAACAGCCTTCTTATATATGTGAAAGAATGGGGATGATAATCTCTCACCCAGGAGGGATCTCACTGACTTGGGGAGAACTAAAAGGGAGATGGGGAGAACTTTCAAATGGCTAGATGCTGTTCCACTGTGAGAAGATAATGCAGTGTTACATACAATTAGTAATGGAAATACAATTAAACCACTTGGCGCCTGTGGCTTGCCTCACTCATTGCCACACTCCCAGTCAAAAAGTTTAACCAAGTAGCTCCAGTGATCGTAAGTGGCATGTGGAACCCAACTTGTTGAGAGAGACTTGAACATGGCATTGAGGGAATCACTCTGCTGACGTCAGTGTTTGCTCACTAATTGCCAAAAAACCTTCCCAGTTTATTTTTTTTTAAATTGTAAGTGCTCTTTTCTGAAAGTATCAAGAGCTCAGTAAATGGAAGGGACAAATATTGTTAAGTTCTGGAAATAAAAGGAAGTGGAATGATTTGTGCAGGAATCAGGAAGAAATATCTTTGCTTGGAGGGGAATGAGATGGTTTGAATCATACCTGAAAAGCAGTGGAAGGCATTTGCCAGTTTCTTGGGATGCCCTGATGAACTTACTCTTCCTGGGATGGTCAACAAGCACTTGTTCTTGTGGAGCTTACATTCTCATAGGTAAAGAGAGAAATGACAATTAATAATAATTTGAGGGCATGGTGGTGCATGTCTGTAGTCCCAGCTTCTCAGGAGGCTGAGGCAGGAGGATTACATGAACCCAAATTTTAGGGTGTGGTGAACTGTCATTGTACCATGCACTCCAGTTTGGGTAATAGAGTGAGACACTGTCTCAGATAATAATAATAATATTGATAATTAGGGTGGTAGTGATAAGTCATATGAAAAAAATTAGAAGGGATAGAGATGACCAGGGTTGGGTGGGTATTCGTTATATGGTGTAAAGAAGGTTGTACTGAGGAGGTGATATCTGAACAGAGACCTGAAGGAAGTGAAGAAATGAGAACAGCAAGTGCCTAGGTCCTGAAGTGGATGCTTGGCTGTCACATGGGAGGCACAGCAAAAAGACCAGTGTGGTGGAGGGCAGGGAAAGAAGGAGAGAAGTGTGGTAGATAATAAAGTGAGAGAGGAAGTGGGAAACCATACCACCTGGGCCTTGTAGGCCAGTGGAAGAACTCCAGCTTTGTTAGAGAAAGAGGCAGAGGAATTGTTAAGGTGATTCTATGTCAGATAGGCCTTGAAGGAAGACTCCGGACACTTGCTGCATTGGTGAAAGTGGAGAATCAAGATGACTTCTGGGTTTTTGCCTTGAGAAACTTTCCTCGTTTCCCTAAAAGCTCCTTTTTGGAAGCCATACTTTTCAATTTGGGGTAAGAATATCCTACGGTACCACGAGGCATTAGTGCAGGAAGGGGCCTTAGTTATCCAAGAAGTACTTGGAGGCCAAGTGATTTGAGCAAGTTCACATCATGAGTTGGTTGGAAAGCCTTCTCCTGGTACAGTGCTTTTGCCCACGCCTACCTTTCCCCTTGTGTTATACTGAGACATGATTATACTCAAATATGGGTTGTGTTTTTAAAACCCCTTTTTTTTCCTCCTAGCTTTGAAGCTTAATGGTGGAGGCCTTGATTGTCATCATTTCCAGCATTTGAACATTGAGCAAAGCCATGTAGAGCAGGGAGGCAGTTGGAAGGCTGAGTTCTTGCTCTGCCTTTTTTCATCTTGAGTTCTGTGACTTTGGATTGTTGCTTTGCTTTATGATTTCCAGTGTCTTTTCTTTTTTCCAGCAGTCTACAGGTATATGCATTTAAAAAGTGTAGCTCTAGTGAAAGATTCTGTGGCTATGTCTTAAATGGGTTTGGAAGAGCACCTTTTATTTATCTTTCATTTTATTTGTTTTTGGAAACTGCTTCCTTAGTGGTAGCTAAGGTGTTTCTAACTAGATCATTTTTATCTGCTGTATTAATTTCTTTTAACTTTTTTTTTTTTTTTTTTTGAGTTGGAGTCTCACTCTGTCGCCCAGACTGGAGTGCAGTGGCCGCTCCCGGTCACCGCAGCCTCGACCTGCAGGGCTCCGGTGATCCTACCGCCTCAGCCTTCCAAGTAGCCGGAATTACAGGCATGCGCTACCATGCCCGGCTAATTTTTTAATTTATTGTAGAGATGAGGTCTCGCTGCCCAGGCGGGTCTCGAACCCACAGGCTCAGGCAATCCACTCACCTCAGCCTCCCAAAGGCGCGGGATTACAGGCTGAGCCACCGAGCCCGGCTGTATTAATTTCCTGAGAATAATTCAGTTGCATCTGGTATAAAGAGCTCTATCCCCTTTTCGTTATTGTTTTTGTTTGGAAAGCCAATTGCTAAATATCAAAATTATTTCTTAATTACTCCATACTTATATAAGTTCCAAGGTTTTCATATTGAGGGATTATTTTCTGGAATATTGAAAATATCAGACAGAATACATGTGTGGTCCTTAAGCTTCTTATACAATTAACTTTTTCTGTGCTGTCACTATGACCCATAGATAATATTCTCCAAATATTTCAGCTGGTTACAAGTTACTAAAGACCCTAAGTGGCAGAGCAAACTCAGAGGAGGATAGCCCAGGAGGAATTAAGTAGATGAAGTCATTGATGCCCTTATTTCCTTTAGTCAGTGCATACTTTTCACATGGATATTTGTGTACCATGTGAAATTTCAGTCTAATCTCTGCTTTCAAAACCTGTTTTGTTTTGTGTGGATGTCTGAGAAGTAATGAGGGAAGAAGGAGGGGTTCAGAAGAATGCAAAAGTTAGTGGGATTAAGTATGGTTAAAAACCGAAAAAGACAACGCAAGAGTAGCAGGCAGTAAACATGGGGAAACAGTCACATGCATCAACAGTGGAGATACTCTTAATTGCTCATCCCTTCTGAATCTGTGTGACTGTTTCCTAGGGCCAGGCAGAAGAGGTGTTGGGCATACCAGGAAGGGCACTGGCAAGGCCTGGTACAGGATGCTGGTGTCACAGACTCGACCTCTGGCAGAGTATTGCTTTGTTTAAAAACCACACCACCTCCACATTTCCCTGTTGCCTTTACAAATGTTAACATCAGTGGGGAGGATGTGACTAAGACTGGGCAGCCTGAGCAGTTTGGTTGCCTTCCCCAGAAAAGGAAGAAGGGAAGCTGCCAAAAATAATCTTTAGATCATCCTCCCTGGGCCACTGTGGCACTGTAAAATTCCTTTACTGTTTCTGAGGGCCATCTTGGAAATGATTTGCATGAAAAGGCATCTAATTGAATTAGTGAATGAAGGACTTAATACCTAGAATATGTAACGTGCTACCTACAAGCAAAAATCTTAGTGTGATCTGAGCTAGACCATATTTTTTTTTCCTTGTTTCTTTTTAAATTTTAAATTTTAAAGATGTGGGGTATATTTCAGGGTTAGGTCTACAATTGTTCATTATCCAGGTATCCTTGTTGATGAGGTGTGCCCCTCAACCCCCACCCTCTGGCAGATTCCCACTACTGTCAGTCCCACCTCCCCTCCCACAGTTTCCCACTACTATCAATCCTTTTCTTATAGTATTATGATAATTGTTTAGGTCCGCTTATGAATGAGAACATGTGATACTCAGTTCTTTGTTTCTGTGATAGATCACTCAGTATTATAGACTCTAAGTCTATCCAAGTTGCTGCGAAGTTCATAATTTTGTCCTTCATTATGTCTGTGTAATATTTCATCGTGTGTATATACCACATTTTTTTTTTTTTTTGAGTTGGAGTCTCACTCTGTCGTCCAGACTGGAGTGCAGTGGCCGCTCCCAGCCACCGCAGCCTCAACCTGCTGGGCTCCGGCGATCCTTCTGCCTCAGCCTTCCAAGTAGCCGGAATTACAGGCATGCACTACCACATCTGGCTGATTTTTTGATTTATTGTAGAGGTGAGGTCTCGCTGCCCAGGCGGGTCTCGAACCCGCGGGCTCAGCAATCCACTCACCTCAGCCTCCCAAAGGCGACATTTTTTTTTTATCCAGTCCTCTTTGGATGGGCACGGTTGGTTCCATGTTTTTGCTATTGTGAATAATGCTACAGTAAACATGCATGTGCAGGTATCTTTTTCATAGAGTGATTTGAGTTCATCCAGGTATATTCCCAGTAGGGGGATTGTGGGGTCGTACGGAAGGTCGATTTTTAGATCTTTTAGGAATCGCCACACTGATTTCTGTGGAGGTTATACTAGTTTACACTCCCACCAACAGTGTAGAATTGTTCTCTTTTCACCACATCCTCTCCAACATCTGTTGTTTTTTGAGTTATTGATGATGGCCATTCTGACTGGAGTTAGGTGGTATTTCAGTGTGATTTTAATTTCCATTTCTTTGATAACTAGTGAGGCTGAGCATT